GAGAGAGAGAGAGAGAGAGAGAGAGAGAGAGAGAGAGAGAGAGAGAGAGAGAGAGAGAGAGAGAGAGAGAGAGAGAGAGAGAGAGAGAACAGTCTAAAAACCAGATCTAAAAGCGACAGCGAGAGAGAGAGAGAGAGAGAGAGAGAGAGAGAGAGAACAGTCTAGAAACCAGTTCTGAAAGCGACAGCGACACAGAGAGAGAGAGAGAGAGAGAGAGAGAGAGAGAGAGAGAGAGAGAGAGAGAGAACGGTCTAAAAAACAGTTCTGAAACTATCTTTGGAAGAGGCAATGCGACAGAGAGAGAGAGAGAGAGAGAGAGAGAGAGAGAGAGAGAGAGAGAGAGAGAAAGAGAGAGGACAGCGCAGGCACTAGTAGATGCCAAAGCAGTCTCTACCGTGGCAATTGACTAAAAGAGGGTGCTCATCTTCTGGCAGTGCTTCAACTGCTGATACAGGTGCCAGTTACAGGTCTAGCTAGTGAGGAGCATCATGCTGGAGCTAAGCAAGGAGCACTGCCCTTATTGCCTTTTTCTTACTTTTCTCTTTTCCGCACTGCTTTGATCATCCCAATGCACAACGGGATTGGGTTGCATACGCTTGAAAAAGGGAAAAAGTGTCATTTGCACCCTGATGCCCTGCATCAGCTCAATCAGACTGCATGTTGAAGCAAGGCCCTAGTTGCACTACTCGCCATCCGCCAAGATTTCGAATGCATCTGGACAGAATGATGTCCACATGCAATCAAAATGTTGGCGGATGGCGAGTAGTTCGACGAGGCCCCAAGACTGTGGTCGGGAGAAAACGCGAGATGACAGTTACCGTACCTATCGTGATGACCAATCACGGGAATTGTTCTGCTGCAGTAGAATAGAAACAAGCAAGCAAGCAATACTACAAGTAATCAAGATCGTCGGCCGTCGACGCCTTTCATCTGCGGTGCCAATATAGGGCCTTGCTCCACTACACACTACTCTACATGCATTTGGACACTTTCTCGACCAGGTGCGTCCGAACGAGTGCAACATTGTGAATGTATGCGGTCTGGAAGGCGTCCGAAGGCATGTAGAGTGTTTTCTAATGGAGGGAGGCCCATAGTGCAGTGAAATCCTATTCATCGCACGGGAACCAAAGCCTGACTTCTTACGTTGCGGGGTGAATCTGCGATAGTTATGTGCAGTGAAATCCTATTCATCGCACGGGAACCAAAGCCTGCCTTCTTACGTTGCGGGGTGAATCTGCGACAGTTATTTTCTCCTCTCTCCGTCATGTCTCGTGTCCGTGCCCACTCTCCCACCGAATTGAACGTACGGTCATTAGTAGACTGCAATTTGGCGCCAAATACAGCTATAATGACCATGCCTTGTATTCGGGAAGGACCGGAGTAATAGTTCCCTCTGGGCTCCGGTAGTTCCCTCTGGAACTACAAGTTTTCTCTCTCTCTCTCTCTCTCTCTCTCTCTCTCTCTCTCTCTCTCTCTCTCTCTCTCGTGCGCGCGCTTATTCCCAGTTGCTTTGGCTACCTTAGGGCTCCGTTGTATTCGGGAAGGACGGGAGTGGTAGTTGCCTCTGGTCTCCGGTAGTTCTCTCTGGACCCAGGAGTTCCCTGTGTAACCCATAGCTCCTTCTACGCCCAGTAGTGGTTCCCCCTCTGGGCCCACCAGTTCCCTGTGGACCCGGTAGCTCCATGTGGACACGGTTGCAGCCCTGAGTTGCCAAGTCTGCGTTACAGCTGCTGTTTGCAGCCCGGCGGGTTGCGTTTATACCCTCATGGCATTTCTCTATCTCTATCTCTATCTCTAATACCCTAAAGGAAAAGGCGGGTCTCACGTGACGGGCCCACGTGAGACACCGCTGCTGGTGGCAGGGTCCCAGATGTGGGAGATGCGAGACCCGCAGCCGCTGCCAGGGCCCCACACGCGAGACCGGTTGCGGACCGGTATCGTGGTACGAATCGGTCGTCCCGGTCTTCGTCGGACCCCGTCTTATTTCGGGCCGCAATTGGGTCGGCCCGGTGTGCGCCGGGTCCCGTCTTTACCCGAGCAGCGCAACGGTTTGGAGGAGTCGGTCAGTGGGCGGTCTGGGGGCGCACGGGGACGGCGGGTGCAGGGGGACGCAGGGCAAGGGCGGGTATATTTTCACAGAGTGTATATTTTCACATTTCAGCGGAAGATTCATTCCGATTTTGCTCATCCTATCGATGGAATGTGTGTGTGTGTGTGTGTGTGTGTGTGTGTGTGTGTGTGTGTGTGTGTGTGTGAGTGAGAGAGAGAGAGAGAG